GGCAGAAGGCCAGAGGAAGGTGTTAGACTACACATGGTGCTTCCCACATGACTCAGATATACTGAAGGGTGGAGAAGGACAGCAGATTTGTATTTTGATCTAACGCAGGATCGTGATGAGGTCGAGTGATAGTGAAATAAAAAATTGGGCTTACTTGATTGTAATTCATGTATTTTTGAAAGCTGGGGATACCAATGCCAGTAAAACATTTTTACCACCTGCCTTGTGTTTCAGGGCTACTAGTTTGGTAGTGTATACTTTCACGTGTATACATTTGTAATATTTTCAACCATTGTTGACAAGAAAAAGGTTTCTCGCCCAAAATAAGAAGTTAAGTGTGAAGTCAAGTGTGAAGTCAAGTGGGAACACGGCCCTTGACTTCTTGGGAACATGGGTGAATATGGGTAAAGTGGGACAGTTAAGATTAATCATGTTTTTCTTTACATGTAAATACTTCCATAACTAAAAATCAACTTAATTTATTTATTTATTTATTTTTTTGACATATTGAGTATATTTTGACACTGTCCCAGTTAACCAATACACTCTTGGCAAAGTGGGACAGTGCAATATTGGTAAAGTGGGACAGCCATTCAAGTCATTTTAATGGGGAAATGTAGTGCCTTTTTAACATTTCTTCACAAAATTAGCTAGCTAGCTAGCCAAGTATTAACCAAGTATTTACTGAAATTTGTATTTACTTTAATGCTAATTGCTTACTGCTAACATGCAAAAGTAGCATACAGATATAAAAATAAATAGCTATTGGCTATAGTTAACATAGTTAACTATAGGCTAGTTAACAACTTCAGGATGACATAATAATGCTTACTATGATAATATTATTTCAGAATCCAATGGTAGAAATGAGAAGGGCAAGGAGACAGAAGAGAAATGTGTAAATAAATAAAAATAAAACAAAATGCCAGGATGCCATGGTTGTTTCGATAAGTGACTTAGGCTATCAAACACAGTCACATTAATTTTGACTCATGCTTTTCCGCTGGTTTGTCCTATCAAACTTAACGTTGAATTAGTTGTTCAGTTGGATCCTGGCTTGGTCTACATGTTTTCTCACTTTTCTACATTGCTTTCTTTGACTCTACACTGGATGTTTATGTTCACCTATAGGCAGGGGCTGATGACTGTTTGCTGCCTGTGTTTGTGATTAAATTTAGCATGTGTAATTAATTATCTATAAGATTTTTATGAAGGTTCCTTATTTAATTTTTTTAATTAATTATTTTAAAAGTGATAATTGTTGTTATTGATATTATTTAGTGTTTTTAATTTAAAAAAAACTGAATGTGTTTTAAGTGTCCCAGTTTACCAATTATAGGTGTCCCACTTTGCCAATAGTCCCAGGGAAATTTTTGTCTATTAGGGTCAATATTTGTTTGAGGAAGAGCCATCTGTCCAGTTTTTAATATTTCTCTCTCTTTTCTTTTTATAGTATAGTAGAGGTCTTAAGCTATTTAGAATAGTATAATATGAGGGGATTTTAAAGATAACTCATAATTAAAAATCGACACAGAAGGCAGAATTTCAGAAAGTGTCCCACTTTACCCATATTCACCTATATATTTGGGTTCATGCAGCAAGCAAATTACCCTAAAAGCCTGAACGGTGTTATTACATTAAGAGTAAAACTTTTATGAAGTGTTTTTAATTACTAGGCTGAATGGGTTAAAGGTATGTGATTGTATGGGTCTTTTCATCAGGTAACTTTTTATGCACAAAAACATGACACCTGATTTGATCTCCTCAAAATACCTCGAAATATAGTTACTGCATGCTGCCTTTACGTTGCCTTAAATCAGTGGTTCTCAACCAGAAGGGTCGTGGACCCAAAAGTGGCTCGTGGAGCCATTTTCAGTGGGTCATGAATGTGTCCAAGGAGAAAAAAAATGTCATAAAGTCTGTGAAGCACTTTTAACACTAGTTGTTTTGTTACGTCTTGGTCTGTCGCATGTTTTGTGTTGTCTGAGGTCCAAACTGCACCAACTTCTAATTAAATAAATCTGATTGATTGAAATATATTCGATATTTGGTACGTGGTTTCTTATTGAGGAGTTGGTGGTGAGTCCTGAGGCTGGACCAGTTGAGAACCGGTGCCTGAAATGGTAATAATAACAAGAAGAAAACTAAGTGAAAGAACTCCATTTATGTGGTAAAAGTCAAGTATTCTCTTTTTAACCCCAGTTCCACCACTTTCTCTACAGCTCTTTCTTCATAATGAAGCAAAAATTAATTGTTAAACTTTGTCACAAAATTAAAAATAAATCAGAAATCCTCTTTTCAGTTGTGACTTCTAGACAAAGCGGTTATCCTCGGAGTGCATGCAGAGGGGTTAGTGGGTCAGAAGGTGAGAAGGATAAGCTACACAATCACTCATAATTACATGTAATACACTCAGTTATAAGGAGGATGAGTGACAACATGGTTCTTTAAACCGGTTGTTCTCAACTGGTGGGTCGGGACCCAAAAATGGGTTCGGCGAGTTGCGATTGTCTAAGAAGCACTTTTACAAAATGTTTCTTTTGTTCGTTTGTTTGTTCTGTCACATGTTTTGTTCGGCTTGAGGTCCAAACAGCACAATTTTTACTGAAATAAATCTGATTGGTTGAGAAATATCCAACATTTGGCTCACAGTTTTTCATGAATGAGTTGGTGAAGGGTCCTGGGACTCGGTCAGTTGAGAACCACAGAGATAATAACCCTGTAAAATCTAACAACTATTTGAAATATGTATTCCTATTAAACCTTTCAGAGGCAAAATATTGCATATTTTGGTGACTTAATGTTCCTAAACTGAGCTGGATCTTCGGTCCCTGACTCCACCCTGTTACTCACTGATGAGCTGCTTTCGGGAGGGTCGCTCTGGTCCTCTGAGCTCGCTTTTTCTTGTTGGTCTTCTGCATCTCCAGACCAAGTTGTACCAGGATCACCTCCCTCAGAGATCCAGCGATAAAAGCTTTAAGGGAAGGATATGAAAATAAGACCCAAGAAAAAATATAGTCGAAAACATGTGGTGTTGCCTCCAAAATCAGTTCACTGAACGCTGCCCTGCGTGCAGCCGGCTCGGATCAAGTTCGAAGTGTTCTGACCTTGCTCCCTCTCTGGCATCTCACTCATACACAGCGTTCCTCCTTCTCCTTGTATCACAGACACATGGAACCACTGAGAGGAATTTTTATTACCCCCCCCTAAACTGTCAGAAATGCATACCCACAGAAATAGTTCACACCCGGATGAAGAGCATCTACATTAATACGACTCGATGCAGAGCGACCAGCAGGCTCGAGCTGTGTCGTATGGATTATTATGATTATTTTTATGACAGTATTACATGTACAACACATTAATGCCCCATTTGAATCCCTATAATGTTTAAACCGCAGCTATTACAGTTTCATGTGGTGGGTCTGCCAGGAGGCGTCCAGGCTTCGGCCTTGGATGGTGGGGATTACTGGGTCACAAGTCCCAGCTTCAGAGGCTTCAGTTACATTAGACTGCTGAATCAGAGGAGGAAAGGGGAAGCTTAGGGGGACCAGAGAGAGGGAAGACAGGTGGTGTGGCATAAGAGAAAGAAGATAGAACAACATGTTAAGAAGAAAGAGAAGTTCTATTTCTGGGGGGTGAGAAGGGAAGCAGGGAACACCACAACACAACGTGAATGAGCATTATGCAACAGTTAGTTCTGGCAAAGTCATTTTTAAGAAACTCATCTGTTTTGATTTTATTGTGGACAAACGGGTTGTCAAAGATTTGCACACTTAGGGGCGTGTCTATTTTGACCTACAGGTAGGTACACTGTAGCTGATTGCAAGAGGCTTAAGGCCCGCCTCCAACTCTCTGCCTGTTACTTGATTGGCCAAAAGGGAGGCAGGGCCACTCTTAAACCAATCCCTACACCCTCTCCTTACGAACTTTCATTCCATTTGCGGGTTTGCAAATAGGTTGGCAACGCTAAGGTATGGCCAAGGCCGCCCATAAGGGGGGAAATGGGGAAAGCTTTCTGGAGCCCATGCGCATGTAGGGCCCATTAGGGTTAGGTACGACACAGTCCATCCAAAAATGTCAGCAATCATAACAATCATATTTTTTTTATTGCCTGTTTCAAGAAGTTATTTCTTAAAATGGTATGAACCCTTTTTTGACCGTTAAAGTTGTGGGAGAGCCAATACAACCTAATTGTTTATAATCTTGGGCTGGGTATAAATATGCCAGGAACTTCAAACAGGTCAGGATGCCAAAAATAAAGGGGGCTAAGGCACCAATTATGTAATGGTCCCTACAAATTATAAAAAATAACTAGAGTGCAGTATGTAAATGAGTGATCTGACCGAGTTCCCGGGTGTGTCCTGAGTAAACCACAGAGTGACAGGTGTTGACTCTGATGAGTGATGATGCTTCCATTTCTGCCACAGAGGAAAATGCAAAACCCTGAGCAGCGTGAAATTCCATCTGTGTCCGTGGGTGTGTGTGTGTGTGTGAGAGGTGATATCTGTAACTGAGCTCATCTATCTATCTATCTATCTATCTATCTATCTATCCATCCATCCATCCATCCATCCTGACACAGATTTGTCTGTCTTGAAGCCCTAACACACCAAGCCATATTTTGTTTGAATAATAAACATCTTGCATCGTATAGCGTGAAGGCAAAAATTAAAAGCTTCTGCAAGGCCAAACACCACTCAAATTAGAAAGATAATTGTAAGTGGTGACTTGGTTATATGTATGTATGAGTGTGTGTGTAGATGTGTAGCTGTATCTGCACTGTTCATTACTTTTCTTAATTATTACCGTAAAATCCGGTATATAAGACGCACCCTATTTTTAAGGTCTCTTAGAGAGAAAAAAGAAGTTTAAACTGTCTTCCTGCGTGACGATTTATATTGTGTTCAGTAACGTCAACAATGTGCAGTTTCTGTGCAGCTGTGTCCGAATTCTGTAACATAACATGAATTCTGTAATAAATGAAAGAAGTCTTCAAATGGCTTTCGTTGTTCTTTTATTCTTGCAAGAAGGAGCAGCAGTACAGAGTGTCATGCAGTCTGCAGAGAAGCTCAAAGGGGGCTAAGAGGGAACACGCTTTTATACATTGTATTCAAAGGCGAAGGATGGATATGGAACAATTGTTGTAGAGCAGATTTGTGGTAAACCAAGTTGAGACCGAGTCTGTATCTTAATTAAAAAAAAAGGCAGAAGTTTGTGCATAGGCATCTGCTTAACAGGAAATTCATGGGCTAGGTGTCATGACAGTTGTTTTTAGCAAATGCCTCACACAGTCATATTATAACACATCAACACAGTCATCATCGGTTATCATATGTTCTCACAAGTACTTGTTTTCATTATTCTCACACTAAAGGCTTTAAATCATCATAAAGGTTTTCTGGTCTTATTACTTTAAAATAATTTAAAATAAATGATGGACCTTTCTTATAATTGGGTGGTTTGTAGACAGACTATAGGGATTTGTGTTAGAAAAACATGATAATGTATACTTTGCATAATATGTGACCTTTAAATTACAATAATATATGTTTTGAATAAGTGCCAATAGGATATTTAACACAGCAATTGAGTGTAGAAGTATTTTTTGTGATTTATTGATTTTTTTTATTGATTAACAACTTTTTCTACCAATTAGGGCATGACAAATATGCTATCACAAAAAATGTTTCCCATTTATTGTAGCCACATGTATTTTCAGCTAACCAGCAGCCACAACAGAAAAAAAATCGGTGGGACTTAATGTATTAAATTTAGTAGCCGATCATTAATGGGTTAATTCAAGTCTGAATCACTTTGATCTTGTTAGACGATGAATTAAATATTAATGACATCCAAACAATGTCTCACCTGATACATCAAGGGCAAAAGTAACAGAAAAGAAAGAAAGACATTAAAGAGAAACAGAAATGATAAAAGAAAGAAACCCCATATCTTAACGATTCCTACATTGAAAACAGAGGTCTGTGTTGCATGTTGAATATTTGAGCCTAAAGATTTTATTATAAAGAAACAGGAGACAGAAGAACGAGAAGAGTTCAAAGAGACGTCAGATGTTATGACCTGCAATGATACAGTTACATCTTAGTACTGACTGTGTGTTACACACCATGACTCAGTGCAAACTACTGTAACCTTTTCTCACAAATCCACTGGGATGTGACGCTGCAGTTGAAGTCGTTCAAGCCGATGAAAGTGATCCTTGTGTGAAGGTCGCCACAGTCTTCTCCTCCGGACGCTCCATCACTCACCCACTGCAACCTACAAAAAGAAGAAAGATCATTTTTTAATATTTGTTTTAACTGATCCTGGTGTGAATTAGAGACATGTTGCAGCTTTTTTGACTCATTTGCTGTTCTCATTGCAGTCGTTTCTTTCTGGGGAAACAGGATTTACATTAGAATGTCAATTTTTACAGCAGAAATAAACATGTTTACAGCCTGTTAACATAACATAATAAGTATTACATATTTATGGTTTTAGTCATTTACTTTAAATTTCCCATTGGGGCATTAAAGTTTATCTTATCTTATCTACCTTTAACAGAAGGCTTACTGAGATCAGAGTCTCAGAGCGATGTTGAGGCTTGCTTGAAGAATAAACAGCAGAACGACGCTCAGAACCACACGCAAGTGTTTGAATTCTGTAACATACAAAAGAAAATTATTCCCATTTTCATGGTCTTAATCTCTAGTTTTGAGTCTCCCTCAGTACAGCATGATGTTCATTCTGAAAATGATGGTCAGAATTTGATTACTGCACACAGCTACGTCATACAGTGCAGCAATAAGTGCTACTGTGATTACAAAATGTTATGTGTCTAACACGATTAAATGGTGTAGTCTCCATATTGTTTTCACGATTGCACAAAACTCCTTAATTCCCTATAACTTTCAGGGTGAGCTGCATGTGTGAACGGAAAAGACAAAATGTTTTACTCCAACTATACCTGGACTTTTAATACTACCACACTTGCAACATTTCAGGGTAAAGTCAGGATGAGCTGATGTACAAACGCAGGAAATATTCAAGAAACATCACCTTGAGCAAGCGGGCTGAGCTGATGGTATTTATATCATGTGACTGGTTAGCCACCGCTGAAATTGCCTTGCTTGAACGAAGCAGCTCAAACTCTTCTGCATGCAAGTGGCATCTTCCACTTGATCATTAATACTTTGAATTTGTTGAAAACACCTTGCATTGATATAAGGACAAAAACTGTCATCATAGCATCATACATTACTTTTTTTCGTCATGTCTCGCCTCCTGAGACTCCGCCCTCACCTCCCCAGAGGGGTGGTTTCCCGTTGTGCAACTCATGAAGATGAGGGCAGACTGTCAGAGTATATATGACATCATTTTTGTTTAGTTTCTGATCCTCTTTACTGAGAGACACAACTCGATCTTTGGCCAAATGCTCCACTTTGTTTTCCAGCTTGGTGCTAACTTTATCTTTGTGCTGTTCACTGCTGAGCATGAGCAATGAGAGTAAACCAAAAAGTTGTGCAGAAGGTTATAAAACTAAAACAAGGAGCTTCAAGACACTTTAAAGCTTCATGAAGCAGCTGGGTGGTGGTGCAGAGTCATGCTGGATGATCTACCTTTAAAAGAAGGCTTACTGAGAGCGAGTCTCAGAGCGATGTTGAGGCTTGCTTGAAGAATACACAGCAGGCCGACGACCAGGAGAATCAAACGGAAGTGTCCGGCTTCTGTAACATACAATAGAAAGTTATTCCCATTTTCCTTAAAAATGTGAATAAAAACAATAAAACAATATCCATCCATCCATTATCTATATTTTGAATTCGTATAAAACACCTTGTATTGATATAAAGGCAAAAACTGTCAATACACTTTACTTTTTTTTGTCATGTCTCGCCTCCTGAGACTGGATGGTTTCCCGTTGTGAGGTGCGTGTGTGAACCATAGACTGTAAAAATATGTGAACAGGCAACTCATGAAGATTTCAGGAGCAGACTGTCAGAGTACATATTTGTAACCGGGTGGTAAAAGTCATTTAAATCTATTTTATCCACTTAGTTATAATTCCAAAATGTTAAATGATGGTTTAGATCAAATGTACATGTTCTGTGTTGTTTTTGTATGCATGTGACATTAAGTCATAGAAATTAGTTTTAGATTGATAGTGGGCCGCCACAGACAGATTTAAGTTTTGATCGCTAGGTGGCAGTATTGAGTAGCAACAAGGTTACTTCGCCAAGTGCATCATGGTCTTTCTTCCTGTTTACATTGCACACGAAGAATCTGGGGGTTTACCAGAGTTGACGGCACTGTTATCCTTGTGAAAAGTATGAGACAGTAGTAAGTAAAACATGTTGAAACTGCATTATATATCTTGCAAAATATCACTGTAGAAAACGTTGTATGTCCATTTGGTAACAAGATGGTTTGTTTTAGGTACTACTAGGTCGGATGCAGTGGGATTGCGGGCGCCAGCTGCCGAGTACTGTGTTTAATTTCTCAAGGTAAATGAGGCTAGCTTAAATTAGCATCCTATGTAAAAGCGCTTTGTAGAATGAACGAGTACAGAGTTTCCACTTATTGTATTTTGTTTTAAGGATTAACAGTGTAACAGACGGTGTCATCTTCAGGGAGCTCCAGGTGAGGGTCTTGTGAAAACTGTTGAAATGTAAGTAACATTTCAGAATATTTGTTTGTTGAATCAGTAATTAACAGGTTTTGTTTTCTGTTTTCTATCGATAGCTTAAAGGCTTTATATGCGATTTTTCACACATAAATGTAATAGAAATCAAGTACCGTAAAATCCAGAAAAATATAAGTCTCACCGGTGTATAAGACGCACCCTGTTTTTAAGGTCTCTTCGAGAGAAAAAAAAGTTGAAACTGTTTTCCTGCGTGACGATTTATATTGTGTTCAGCGATGTCTACAACGTGCAGTTTCTGTACAGCTGTGTCGCTCTTTTAGTTCGGTCTGTTTTCACTTTCGGGAGTTTTGCTCCTACTAGCTACAGTACGGTAGTTGAGCTCTCAGCCTGCTGCAGGGAAAGTTGGCAGAGGAACAGTCCTGCTAGCTTGCAAGTCACGCTGCCCGACTCCGCTTGTTACTATTTAACTTTAATATAGGACTCTTTCAATCAAAAGATCACTCCACAAGGTTTATTTACGGAACAATATACCTCTGTTTTCTCTAAATGTATGATTATCACCTCATGAGGGAGAAAAGATGTGAAAGTTGCGCAGCCAGCCTGGTCTGTGTCACTGTCTTTCCCAGCACAGCGTGCACTCAGCTTTCAATACACAATGAATGGGGATAGGTTTTGAATCACTTCAGGTCACAGTGATAGTGGCTGCTGCACCCGCGGTAAAGATGTCACGTTTCAGTATTTTGTACTGGTATATTGGTTGCACCAATGTATAAGACACAGCCAACTTTGAAGACAAAAGAATAGGTATTAAAAGTGCGTCTTATACACCGGATTTTACGGTATATCCTCTGAAAATAACTCTGTGAGTAATGACTGTCTACAATGAGTGTAACACCCGAGTCCCACTGTCTGTGATGTTTTCCAAGTTTTCTGAGTCCTATCATCAGTTTGTTGACATCGCCGGGATGGCCAGCTGACTCCTCCCCTCACGTATAAAATTTGTTTAATTGAGGGACTAGAGAAAAGAACAATAACATACTGTACTCACTGCTTAATGTGTTAAGTGTTTCTAGATCACGGTAATTTCGGGTAAATTTACATGCAGTGTGAAGATGCGAGCATAATAAAGATCGCTAGCATTAGCATGCTAACACAACAATGCACCGCGAGTGGTTTCATGCTGGTGCTCAAGGGCGACATCTGCTGGATCAAAAAATCGCATTTAAAGCCTTTAAGCCCACTGCCATATTTTGGGGTCTTTGTTTTCTTTATATTTCTTTATCTGAAGCTACTCATTGGGAAAGCTAAATAAGTTAACTGGTATTGTAACACATAGCCAGAGGTGAAGAAAGGTAGCTTATGCACTCTGTTAAAATTTACTAACTTGTACAACATTTGAAATTAAAGTACCAAATCGCTTGTTTGAGAGGGACTTCTGAATGAATTAAGTCTTGTAGTCTATGTGGAAATACTAAATTGTCTTCTACAGAGCGCCAAGATGTGAGATTTGTGGGATCCGAAAGACCAGTAATACAGTTTAAAATTAGGGACCCCCCCCCCATCCTCCTGCTGATTTTTTTTTTTGAAGAGTTTTAAGTTTAATCCTTGGTCTTTTATTGTTCCAAATAAAACCGGTAATTAAACTGTAATTTATCCCAGTATCCAATCAGTGGATTCAGAGGAAGCATAGAGGCAAGGAAGTTAACTTCAGGTGACACCATCATTTTTATTATTGAGATTCTGGCATCAAAGGATATAGATTTTGATGTCCATATGACATGATTTTTCTTTTTCATTTTTGGTCCTCTTTACTGAGAGACACAACTGAATCTTTGGCCAAATGCTCCACTTTGTTTTTCAGCTTGTTGCTAACTTTGTCTTTGTGTTGTTCACTGCTGAGCATGAGCAATGGGAGTAAACCAACAAGTTATAAAGAAGGTTATAAAACTAAAAAAAGGAGCTTCATGACACTTTAAAGCTTCATGAAGCAGATGGATGGTGGTGCAAAATCATGCTGGATGATTTACCTTTAAAAGAAGGCTTACTGAGAGGAAGTCTCAGAGCGATGTTGAGGCTTGCTTGAAGAACACACAGCAGGCCGACGCCCAGGAGAATCACGGGCAGAGGTCCGAATTCTGTAACGTACAATGAAAAAATATTCCCATTTTCCTTAAAAATAATTTCCAAGTAAAACAATATCCATCTATCCATCCATTATCTCGACTGCTTTTCCTCATTCAGGGTCGCGGGGGACTGGAGCCGATCCCAGCTGTCATTGAGGGGTTACACCCTGGACTGTTCACCAGTCAATAACAGGGCTGACATATCGAGACAGACAACCAGCCACACATTCACACCTACAAACAATTTAGAGTCACCAGTTAACCGAACGAGCATGTCTTTAGACTGTGGGAGGAAGCCGGAGTACCCGGAGAGAACCCACACACGAGGAAAACATCAAACTCCACACTGAGAGGTTCCTGGAGGACGGGGATTTGAACCGGGAACCTCCTAGCTGTGAGGGAACACTTCTAGCCAATGCACCACCATGTAGCCCAATTGTGGTATTTGTAAGTTTTTCCCAAAGACATTTTTTTTTAAATATTACAGAAGCATTTTTAAAACATAATAAGTTAAAAGAGGAAGTAGGCGGGATGCTAAATAGCCTTGATGTAATGTCGAACCCCCCATGTACGGAGGATATCATCCTCCATGCGGGTGGCCCAGGTTCGACTCCGACCTGTGGCTACTTTCCCAGCACTTCATTGTAAAGTCTCGTATCCCTATTTCCAACTTGATCTACTGTCCTGCATCAAAAAGCCTGACAAGAAACTTTAAAAATGGAAGAATGAGAAGTAAAAAATAATAAATAAGTAAAAAAAAGTTAAAGAAAATAATGATACAGTTTGGACAAAATAGATAATAAGTCTAAGATAAGACAGAAAAAAGTCAGATTATGACTCTACACCAACAAGTTGAATATTTGTTCTTGCTGCACCAGTTGTGTATTTAAATGAGAAGAGCTTGAACAATCACAAAGTCAGTACTCTTCTGTTGTCTTACTCAGAACACCACAGCGCTTTCATGATCTCAGCTGTCTCTGATACTCACTGGAAGTGGTGGTCATCTTTGTCGCAGCCTCTTGGGTTTGGTTGTCACGGCAAAATTGTTAATAAAGAAGTTGTAATAAATGAAAGAAGTCTTCAAATGGCTTTCGTTGTTCTTTTATTCTTGCAAGAAGGAGCAGCAGTACAGAGTGTCATGCAGTCTGCAGAGAAGCTCAAAGGGGGCAAAGAGGGAACACGCTTTTATACATTGCATTCAAAGGGGAAGGATGGATATGGAACAACTGTTGTAGAGCAGATTAGTGGTAAACCAAGTTGAGACCGAGTCTGTATCTTAATTCAAAGAAAGGCAGAAGTTTGTGCAAAGGCATCTGCTTAACAGGAAATTCGTGGGCTAGGTGTCATGACAGTTGTTTTTAGCAAATGCCTCACACAGTCATATTATAACACATCAACACAGTCATCATCGGTTATCATATGTTCTCACAAGTACTTGTTTTCATTATTCTCACACTAAAGGCTTTAAATCATCATAAAGGTTTTCTGGTTTTATTACTTTCAAATAATTTAAAATAAATGATGGACCTTTCTTATAATTGGGGGGTTTGTAGACAGACTATAGGGACATTTAAATTACAATAATATATGCTTTGAATAAATGCCAATAGGATATTTAACACAGCAATTGAGTGTAGAAGTATTTTTTGTGATATATTGAGTTTTGTTAAACAACTTTTGCTCCCTATTAGGGCATGATAAATAAGCAATGACACAAAATGTTTCCTGTTTATTGTGTCCGCATGTATTTTCAGCTAACCAGCAGCCACAACAGAAAAAAAATCGGTGGGAATTTTCCTTAAAGGTTCTATATGTAACTTTTTACATGTATAAATCATTTTTTATCGCCCATTTATAAGCGAACAGTTAACTGATGTGAAAAAGTAGATGTTCAGTGTCTATTTGTGTTGCCTGTGTAACATTTTTACCCGGGTCGTATTTTCCGCAAATGCTCCAGGAAGTGATGTTATATGTGCATTCTCGATGTCCTCCTCACTCTGCTCTACTTACAGAGATCAACAGTACAATCTCATCACACACTCCTGCTCTCAGCCAGTGCCTGCCAAGACTGTCGTTTGTAGGATGGAGAATGAATACATGATGATGCTCGTTTGTGTACGTACGAGCATGTATGACGAGCAACAGGTTACTGATGCAGTTCGCCTAATGGTCATGCGGTATCGCTACTAAGGCAGTATTTTTGAAAGTTACATATAGCCCCTTTCACGTATTAAATTTAGTAGCCGATCATTAATGGGTTAATTCAAGTCTGAATCACTTTGATCTTGTTAGACGATGAATTAAATATTAATGACATCCAAACAATGTCTCACCTGATACATCAAGGGCAAAAGTAACAGAAAAGAAAGAAAGACATTAAAGAGAAACAGAAATGATAAAAGAAAGAAACCCCGTATCTTAACGATTCCTACATTGAAAACAGAGGTCTGTGTTGCATGTTGAATATTTGAGCCTAAAGATTTTATTATAAAGAAACAGGAGACAGAAGAATGAGAAGAGTTCAAAGGGACGTCAGATGTTATGACCTGCAATGATACAGTTACATCTTAGTACTGACTGTGTGTTACACACCATGACTCAGTGCAAACTACTGTAACCTTTTCTCACAAATCCACTGGGATGTGGCGCTGCAGCTGAAGTCGTTCAAGCCGATGAAAGTGATCCTTGTGTGAAGGTCGCCACAGTCTTCTCCTCTGGACGCATCATCAGGCTGACCACTCGCCCACTGCAACCTACAAACAGAAGAAAGATCATTTTTTAATATTTGTTTTAACTGATCCTGGTGTGAATTAGAGACATGCTGCAGCTTTTTTCATGTATTTTGTTTTTCCTTGGAGTCGTTTCTTTCAGCAAATTTAAATAGTTTAGTTTTTTTGATGTGAGACCGTTTGAGGAACTCATTAACAGTGAGTGTATTGCCTAAAGTTGATGGCCTTTGTTTGAAAAGCTGGATTAAGGACACAAAAGCTTTAGTATATACAGCTGTTGACAGGCTTTAAAGCTAACTTTATTTTAGCCACACTAAGAAGTCTCACATAAACAAATCAGTAACAGCTAAGGATAATATTTGAAAATATTTTTTACTGCTTCCTCTTGCAGTTAGACAGTCCTTTACTTTGGTATATTACATTTTTTTTATCATATAAAATCTGTTTTCATTCTTTACAGTGCCAAAAAACGAGCAGCAACCTCGGGTGTTGAACAATGAAGCCAATGCTGAAATGCAAAAACCTGCAGTTCCTCGAGTGTCCACTGGAGGCTGGTGCCAGGAGCCACAGAAGTCGAATACACACCCATATTAAAGTTTCCATTTTCACAGCAGAAATTAAGATAATTAGAGCCAGGTTGAAAAACGAAGTTGGTCTGAATAGCTCATTTCTACACTCACACTACAATAAAGCATAAAACAATATGCAACTTTTCCACCTTTAAATATCCATTATTTATACAATCTTTGTCAAAAACTGACATAATAAGGGGTGCAGATGGCTTAGCGGTTGGGTCTTGCCACATGTACAGAGACTATAGTCCTCTAAATGGGTGGGCTCATATGTTTATAAATACCTCACCTGTCTTTGTCCACTTCTGTTCCATCGACCCACAGCCAAGTCCCCTCCTGCTCCCTGTCAGTCATCCCGACCCATGCTGCCTCTGTGAATCCAGTGAGGAAGGCCTGTCATAAAACAACACGCTCATAAACAACAGACTCTGACACACAGAAGTATCTCACAGTCCAGATGAATATCCTGCATCCTTGTTTCTACATTCATGAATCTTAAACGGTTTTCTGTGTCCTATATTGGGCTTTCACACTTGCAGAAATCTCCTGAAAAGCTCAGGATATTTCCAGGAGGAGCTGCATGTGTGAACGCAAACAGCCACATTTTTCACTCAGACTTCATCCAGAGTTTCTCCTGCCACACCCTTAGTATTTTTTCTGCAGTAAGTCCCAGTGAGCTGATGTGAAAACGCTGCAGGATATTCCCCGGAGAATTCACCTTGAGCAAATGGGAGGGGGAGTTTCTATACTGTGACTGCTGCTCTGTGCATAGACTGTATACACACGACCACTATGCTCTCCATGCATGCTATTAAACGGCTGCATTGTGTTTTCTGTTTTCCAGTGTTTTTCTCTCTCTTTTTTTGATGTTTGATGCTATTTTTAGAACAATTAACCGATCAACCACTAAGTCTTTCAGTTCACATTTTCTACTAACCTACTGAAACCATCCCAAAAACAACTTAGCATGTTTCAAATGGAACAATCATTAGTACAGGAATATTAAGTCACCTGTTCCTGTCTGCTGTTGATGACCACCAGGTCGGCGTTTCTCTGCAGGCAGTCCTCCCGGCTTTCGTCCCAGTTTTTCCCGTTTTGCTGAGAGGAGATGTAGTAACAGCTGGAGGCGAACATCAGCCAGCCCTGAGGACAGCTGCGTCCCTCTGTCTCAACTTAACAGGACATTACATGTCACAATACAGAGCGGTGTCATGATGCAACACACAGCAGGATGCTGCAAGTGAACATAACAAGGTGCAGGCTGATGAGACAGGTGAAAATCAAACCTCAAAGGGTATGCTGATATAAATTACAAATGCATATAGTTTAAATAATAAAAATCTTGCATCTTTTGGTGTAAAGGCAAAAATAAAAAGCTTCTGCACGGCCGCATGCCACTCAAATTGTTTATCTTTAAGAAATATCTCACTTCAGCATTTCCATTGACTGTTTATGAAGTGTTTTCAAAAGTAAAGCAAATGCAGCAGAACCCTGAACTTGCAGTCTTTGTAATGGCCAGCAGGGCGAGACAGTGGTTACACAAAGACGTCAGATTATTTAGAAGTGATGAGAAAATGTTCTCACTTCTAAGTTAATTCATTCCCTCCTTAAAAGCTTTCCCAATGAGTTCATGGTCTTAATCTCTATTTTTGATCCCCCTTCAGAACAGCATGATGTTCATTGTGTAAATGATGGTAACACGTTGATTACTGCACACAGAGCTACGTCATAAAGTGCAGCAATAAGTGCTACTGTGATTACAAAATGTCATGTGCCTAGTAGTATTAAATAGTGTAGTCTCCATATTAGGGATGTAATGAGTCACTCAACTCACGATACGACTCTCTCACAAATTATTTTAAAAAAAGAGACTAAGACAAATTACGAGATGCCTGAAAAAGATTCCTTTCTTTTTTTGCATGCGAGAGAGAAAATGTTTCACTCCGACTCTACACAGATTTTCTTTCCTGCTACCCCACTACTAACATTTCAGGGCAATGTTGGAATGATGATGTAGGAAAATGCAGGAAATATTCAGGAAACTTCACAGTGAGCAGGCAAGAGGAGCTGATGATATTTATATCACGTGACTGGTGAGCCACCGCTGTAACCGTCTTGAAAGTAACAAAGCAGCTCAAACTATGTGCATGAAAGTGGCCTCTTCCTTTTTTTATTTCGTCATGTCTTGCCTCCTGAGACTCCGCCCTCACCTCCCTAGAGGGAGGGTTTCCGCTGTGAGGTGCGTGTGTGAACAGGCAACTCATGAAGATATCAGGAGCAGACTGTCGGAGAACATGACATGATTTTTGTTTTGTTTTTTGGTCCTCTTAACTGAGAGATAACACTGAATCTTTAGCCAAATGCTCCACTCTGTTTTCCAGCTTGTTGCTAACTTTGTCTTTCTAACGTTCTATGCTGAGCCTGAGTGTTGCAGTGTCCCGTTGGATGATCTACCTTTAACAGAAGGCTTACTGAGAGCGAGTCTCAGAGCGATGTTGAGGCTTCCTTGAAGAATACACAGCAGGCCGACGCCCAGGAGAACCACACGAAAGTGTCCGAATTCTATAACATACAATAAAGAGAGAATGTTTGCGTTAGCCATCATTATGACTCAACACCAACTGCTTCATGAAAATCTCCCAATTTCTGATATTTATTAAAATGTTAAGTTTCTGTTTTCCATAAAAAATACCTTTAAAGTAAAACAATAATCATCCATCCATTCATTCATTATCCAGCCTGTCCTAGCTGTCAATGGGCGAGAGGCGGGGTACACCCTGGATTGTTCGCCAATCACAGCCGTGCAGCCCAGAAATGTATTTTTTAAGTTTATCCAAATAAAATAAAAACTTTTAAGAACACAGACATTTTTTGAAAACATAATAAGTTAAAAGAGGAAGAAGGCAGGATGCTAAATAGACTCACTGTAATTTCATATCCCCCATGTATGAAGGATATCATCCTTCATCCACCCAGGGGTTTTTTTCCCACATGTCATTGAAAAATCTCTTGTCCCTATTTCCAACTCTATCTACTGTCCTTCATCAAAAAGCCTGAAAACAAACTTAAACAAAGGAAGAATTAGAATAAAAAAATAATAAATAAAAAAATGAAGTAAAAAGAAAACAGTTCGCACAAAAGAGATCGGAAGTCTAAGACAAGAAGAAAAAAAATATGACTACACCAACAAGTTGACTATTTGTTCTCGTGGTACCAGTTGTGTATTTAAATGAGAAGAGCTTGAACAATCACAAAGTCAGTACTCTTCTGTTGTCTTACTCAGAACACCACAGCACTTTCATGATCTCAGCTGTCTCTGATACTCACTGGAAGTGGTGGTCATCTTTGTCGCAGCCTCTTGGGTTTGGTTGTTACGGCAAAATTGTTAATAAAGAATTTGTAATAAATGAAAGAAGTCTTCAAATGGCTTTCGTTGTTCTTTAGTTCTTGCAAGAAGGAGCAGCAGTACAGAGTGTCATGCAGTCTGCAGAGAAGCTCAAAGGGGGCAAAGAGGGAACACGCTTTTATACATTGTATTCAAAGGGGAAGGATGGATATGGAACAACTGTTGTAGAGCAGATTAGTGATAAACCAAGTTGAGACTGAGTCTGCATCTTAATTCAAAGAAAGGCAGAAGTTCGCGCAGAGGCATCTGCTTAACAGGAAATGTGTGAACTATGTACAATTAGACCAGTGTTCTTTAGCAAATGTCACAGTTATATTTTAACACACCACCTGTCGACCCAGGTAGACAGGTGTTGTAATCTGCTCAGAGACTAGTTTCATGACACCTTATAAGGTGACGGTTACGTTCGTATGCTGGTCATTCAAATCAGGTGAGAGTTATGCAAATAGGGTGTCGTACAAGCCAGACGTGTCACCTGTTGAACATATTTTTTTTTTTATTACAACATTCACCAGAAAGTTATAACTTTATTTTAGCCACCTAAAGAAGCCTTATAAACAAATCAGTAAGAGCTAAGGGTAATATTTGAAAATATTTTTTACTGCTTCCTCTTGCAGTTAGACAGTCCTTTACTTTGGTATATTACATTTTTTATCATATAAAATCTGTTTTCATTCTTTACAGTGCCAAAAAACGAGCAGCAACCTCAGGTGTTGAACAATGAAGCCAATGCTGAAATGCAAAAACCTGCAGTTCCTCGAGTGTCCACTGGAGGCTGGTGCCAGGAGCTACAGAAGTCGAATACACACCCATATTAAAGTTTCCATTTTCACAGCAGAAATTAAGATAATTAGAGCCAGGTTGAAAAACGAAGTTGGTCTGAATAGCTCATTTCTACACTCACACTACAATAAAGCATAAAACAATATGCAACTTTTCCACCTTTAAATATCCATTATTTATACAATCTTTGTCAAAAACTGACATATTAAGGGGTGCAGATGGCTTAGCGGTTGGGTCTTGCCACATGTACAGAGACTATAGTCCTCTAAATGGGTGGGCTCATATGTTTATAAATACCTCACCTGTCTTTGTCCACTTCTGTTCCATCGACCCACAGCCAAGTCCCCTCCTGCTCCCTGTCAGTCATCCCGACCCATGCTGCCTCTGTGAATCCAGTGAGGAAGGCCTGTCATAAAACAACACGCTCATAAACAACAGACTCTGACACACAGAAGTATCTCACAGTCCAGATGAATATCCTGCGTCCTTGTTTCTACATTCATGAATCTTAAATGGTTTTCTGTGTCCTATATTGGGCTTTCACACTTGCAGAAATCTCCTGAAAAGCTCAGGATATTTCCAGGAGGAGCTGCATGTGTGAACGCAAACAGCCACATTTTTCACTCAGACTTCATCCAGAGTTTCTCCTGCCACACCCTTAGTATTTTTTCTGCAGTAAGTCCCAGTGAGCTGATGTGAAAACGCTGCAGGATATTCCCCGGAGAATTCACCTTGAGCAAATGGGAGGGGGAGTTTCTATACTGTGACTGCTGCTCTGTGCATAGACTGTATACACACGACCACTATGCTCTCCATGCATGCTATTAAACGGCTGCATTGTGTTTTCTGTTCTCCAGTGTTTTTCGCTCTCTTTTTTTGATGTTTGATGCTATTTTTAGAACAATTAACCGATCAACCACTGAGTCTTTCAGTTCACATTTTCTACTAACCTACTGAAACCAACCCAAAAACAACTTAGCATGTTTCAAATGGAACAATCATTAGTATAGGAATATTAAGTCACCTGTTCCTGTCTGCTGTTGATGACCACCAGGTCGGCGTTTCTCTGCAGGCAGTCCACCCGTCTTTCATCCCAGTTTTTCCTGTTTCGCTGAGAGGAGATGTAGTTACAGCTGGAGGCGAACATCAGCCAGCCCCGAGGACAGCTGCGTCCCTGTGTCTCAACTTAACAGGACATTACATGTCACAATACAGAGCGGTGTCATGATGCAACACACAGCAGGATGCTGCAAGTGTAAAGACAAAAATAAAAAGCTTCTGCAAGGCCGCATGCCACTCAAATTGTTTATTTACAATATCTCACTTCAGCATTTCCATTGACTGTTTATGAAGTGTTTTCAAAAGTAAAGCAAATGCAGCAGAACCCTGAACTTGTAGTCTTTGTAATGGCCAGCAGGGCGAGACAGTGGTTACACAAAGACGTCAGATTATTTAGAAGTGATGAGAAAATGTTCTCACTTCTAAGTTGATTCATTCCCTCCTTAAAAGCTTTCCCAATGAGTTCATGGTCTTAATCTCTATTTTTGATCCCCCCTCAGAACAGCATGATGTTCATTGTGTAAATGATGGTAACACGTTGATTACTGCACACAGAGCTACGTCATAAAGTGCAGCAATAAGTGCTACTGTGATTACAAAATGTCATGTGCCTAGTAGTATTAAATAGTGTAGTCTCCATATTAGGGATGTAACGATTCACTCAACTCACGATACGACTCTCTCACAAATTATTTAAAAAAAAGAGACTAAGACAAATTACGAGATGCCTGAAAAAGATTCCTTTCTTTTTTGCATGCGAGAGATAAAATGTTTCACTCCGACTCTACACAGATTTTCTTTCCTGCTACCCCACTACTAACATTTCAGGGCAATGTTGGAATGATGATGTAGGAAAATGCAGGAAATATTCAGGAAACTTCACAGTGAGCAGGCGAGAGGAGCTGATGATATTTATATCACGTGACTGGTGAGCCACCGCTGTAACCGTCTTGAAAGTAACAAAGCAGCTCAAACTATGTGCATGAAAGTGGCCTCTTCCTTTTTTTATTTCGTCATGTCTTGCCTCCTGAGACTCCGCCCTCACCTCCCTAGAGGGAGGGTTTCCCACTGTGAGGTGCGTGTGTGAACAGGCAACTCATGAAGATGTCAGGAGCAGACTGTCGGAGAACATGACATGATTTTTGTTTTGTTTTTTGGTCCTCTTAACTGAGAGATAACACTGAATCTTTAGCCAAATGCTCCACTCTGTTTTCCAGCTTGTTGCTAACTTTGTCTTTCTAACGTTCTATGCTGAGCCTGAGCGTTACAGTGTCCCGTTGGATGATCTACCTTTAACAGAAGGCTCACTGAGAGCGAGTCTCAGAGCGATGTTGAGGCTTCCTTGAAGAATACACAGCAGGCCGACGCCCAGGAGAACCACACGAAAGTGTCCGAATTCTATAACATACAATAAAGAGAGAATGTTTGCGTTAGCCATCATTATGACTCAACACCAACTGCTTCATGAAAATCTCCCAATTTCTGATATTTATTAAAATGTTAAGTTTCTGTTTTCCATAAAAAATACCTTTAAAGTAAAACAATAATCATCCATCCATTCATTCATTATCCAGCCTGTCCTAGCTGTCAATGGGCGAGAGGCGGGGTACACCCTGGATTGTTCGCCAATCACAGCCGTGCAGCCCAGAAATGTATTTTTTAAGTTTATCCAAATAAAATAAAAACTTTTAAGAACACAGACATTTTTTGAAAACATAATAAGTTAAAAGAGGAAGAAGGCAGGGTGCTAAATAGACTCACTGTAATTTCATATCCCCCATGTATGGAGTATATGGATTACCTTTACCTCAGACCGCAGTACGTGCGCCTACAGAACAATGTCTCAAGCACCATCCTGAGCAGCACAGGGGCTCCACAAGGAACTGTGCTGGCTCCATTCCTGTTCACCATCTACACAGCAGACTTCCAAAACAACACCAACAGCTGCTTTTTGCAGAAATTTTCAGATGACACAGCTGTTGTCGGCCTCATCAAAGGGGGGCAATGAAGAGGAGTATAGAGACACAATAAACAACTTTGTGGAGTGGAGTGCACACAATAACCTCCATCTCAACACCACAAAAATGAAGGAGATAGTTGTGGATTTCCTGAGGGGGAGGAAGAGGACTCAACCAACACCAATCACCATCAGGGGCACTGAGGTGGAGGTGGTCGCCAACCACAGGTACCTTGGTGTGCAGCTCGACAGTGAGCTGGACTGGAAGAGTCATATGGAGGCAGTGTACAGGAAGGGACAAAGTCGACTGTATTTCTTAAGGAGGCTAAGGTCATTTAACATCTGCCAACCCCTGCTGTGCAGTGTCTTCCATTCAGTGGTGGCCAGTGCTCTGTTTTTTGCTGTGGCCTGTTGGGGAGAAGGCGCCCGCACAGCAGACAAAAACAGACTGGAAAAGCTGATCAGGAAGGCCGGCTCAGTGGTCGGGGCTGAGCAACTAACAGTCCAGCAGGTGGCAGAGGCCAGAACTCTGAACAAACTGGTTTCAATAATGACCAACCCCACTCACCCACTCCACGCCCTGAAGGTGATCAAGAGCAGCACCTTCAGTCAGAGACTGATTGCACCAATGTGCAAAACTGAGAGATACAGAAAGTCTTGTATACCAGCTGCTATAAGGTTTTATAATGCACAAAAATAACTTTTTTTTATTTTTTTATTGTATTTTAACTTATTAAGTATGGAAGCCATCTTATGAAATGTGTGGTATTATGTCTGTCTTGAAGCTGTTGTGGCACTGTAATTTCCTGTAAAGGATTATTAAAGGATCTATCTATCTACCTATCTATCTATCATCCTTCATCCACCCGGAGTTTTTTTCCCACATGTCATTGAAAAATCTCTTGTCCCTATTTCCAACTCTATCTACTGTCCTTCATCAAAAAGCCTGAAAACAAACTTAAACAAAGGAAGAATTAGAATAAAAAAATAATAAATAAAAAAATTAAGTAAAAAGAAAACAGTTTGCACAAAAGAGATCGGAAGTCTAAGACAAGAAGAAAAAAAATATGACTACACCAACAAGTTGACTATTTGTTCTCGTGGCATCAGTTGTGTATTTAAATGAGAAGAGCTTGAACAATCACAAAGTCAGTACTCTTCTGTTGTCTTACTCAGAACACCACAGCGCTTTCATGGTCTCAGCTGTCTTTGATATTCACTGGGAGTGGTGGTCATCTCTGTCGCAGCCTCTTGGGTTTGGTTGTTACGGCAAAATTGTTAATAAAGAATTTGTAATAAATGAAAGAAGTCTTCAAATGGCTTTCGTTGTTCTTTTATTCTTGCAAGAAGGAGCAGCAGTACAGAGTGTCATGCAGTCTGCAGAGAAGCTCAAAGGGGGCAAAGAGGGAACACACTTTCATACATTGCATTCAAAGGGGAAGGATGGATATGGAACAACTGTTGTAGAGCAGATTTGTGGTAAACCAAGTTGAGACTGAGTCTGCATCTTAACTCAAAGAAATGCAGAAGTTTGCGCAGAGGCATCTGCTTAACAGGAAATGTGTGAACTATGTACAATTAGACCAGTGTTCTTTAGCAAATGTCACAGTTATATTTTAACACATCGGCACAGTAAACTTCTTATTACAGGGTATGGGAAACTTCTGATACTCGCCAACCGCAGCATTAATGTAAGACTCACTGGAGGTACCGATGACGGCCATTTTGATCCTCAGCGGTGTGAAGTTCTGTCTTATTTTGTTCGAGATGTTGTGTAGCACTTCAACACTGACGCTTTTTCCAATCTGTCACTGCTCCCCGTGTGTAGGGGAGGTATTGTGCCATCAAACCTTTCATCCTCTGTTACATGTTCTTACAGGTACTTGTTTTGATTATTCTCACACTTCAAAGCTTTAAATATGAACTACATCCACACAGTGTCTCACCAAGAGACGTCAGATGTTATGACATGCAATGATACAGTTACATCTTAGTACTGACTGTGTGTTACACACCATGACTCAGTGCAAACTACTGTAACCTTTTCTCACAGATCCACTGGGATCTGGCGCTGCAGTTGAAGTCGTTCAAGCCGATGAAAGTGATCATTGTGTGAAGGTCGCCACAGTCTTCTCCTCCGAACGCTCCATCAGGCTGACCACTCGCCCACTGCAACCTACAAACAGAAGAAAGATCAATTATATTAGAAATATCTGATCCTTGTGTGAATTAGAGAGATGCTGCAGCTTTTTTGACGTATTGTTTTTTTTCGTTATTTCATTGGAGTCATTTCTTTCTGGGGAAACAGGATTTACTCTTTTGTCTATTAAACCCTTTTCACACATACAGAAATCTCCTGAAAAACTCTGGAGATTTGGCTACCCGGAGGGTCTTTAGGTTATGTGTGAATGCAAACAGCCGCATTTTTCGCGCAGACTTTACCCGGAGTTTCTCCGGCAAGACCCCTGATATTTTATCAGAAAGTCCCGAGTGAGTTGATGTCTGAACGCGGCAACATATACTCCGTAGATTTCAGTGACTACCTAAAGTGTCTGCATGCGAACTCTACGATCTCTGTGCATGTAATAAAACGGCTGCATTATGTTTTCTGTTCATCGGTATGTTGTTTTCCTCTCTTTTGTGGATGTTGTCATTCCACTGGACTACACATAGCAATGAAATAAAGGAAAATATTCTCATTATAACGTTCTGTAGCGAACTCTGTTGCTTCGGCCGCTACTTCCACGTCGTTTATTTACGTCACGTCTTACCTCAGGAAATCCCCCGACCCCCCTCCCCTCTGACAGGGATAGTCCCCCGCTGTGAGGAGCATATGTGAACGGCTAGGTCAGGAGAATCTCCGGAGCGTTCCTCCTGTAATTATCTAGATATTATCCGGAGTGCATATGTGAAAACAGCTATATTTGCAAATTTAGATAGTTTAGTTTTTTTGACGTGGGACGGTTTGAGGAACTCATTAACAGTGAGTGTATTACCTAAAGTTGATGGCCTTTGTTTGAAAAGCTGGATTAAGGACACAAAAGCTTAAGTATATACCGCTGTCGACAACACTGACGACATTGTCGTGGATTTTTCGGCAATTAAATGAAGATCTCAAGTCAAAGATTTGTCTTTGTGTATTTTATTGCTCGAGCATAAAGGGGTTCTTTCGCAAAAGGGGGAAACTTATGCAGGGAGGCAATCAGCACAAATGCATAGCAGAGTCCCGCTCAGGAGCGGTTACATCAAGACATTTATACCAGACGGTGCAAAGCAGGGCACTCTCATTGGTTGACTCATGTCGACCTGTGGCGCTCTCATTGGTCGACCCAGGTAGACAGGTGTCTGCTCAGAGACTAGTTTCATGACACCTTATAAGGTGACGGTTACGTTCGTATGCTGGTCATTCAAATCAGGTGAGAGTTATGCAAATAGGGTGTCGTACAAGCCAGACGTGTCACCTGTTGAACATATATTTTTTTTTATTACAACATTCACCAGAAAGTTATAACTTTATTTTAGCCACCTAAAGAAGCCTCACATAAACAAATCAGTAAGAGCTAAGGGTAATATTTGAAAATATTTTTTACTGCTTCCTCTTGCAGTTAGACAGTCCTTTACTTTGGTATATTACATTTTTTATCATATAAAATCTGTTTTCATTCTTTACAGTGCCAAAAAACGAGCAGCAACCTCAGGTGTTGAACAATGAAGCCAATGCTGAAATGCAAAAACCTGCAGTTCCTCGAGTGTCCACTGGAGGCTGGTGCCAGGAGCTACAGAAGTCGAATATACACCCATATTAAAGTTTCCATTTTCACAGCAGAAATTAAGATAATTAGAGCCAGGTTGAAAAACGAAGTTGGTCTGAATAGCTAATTTCTACACTCACACTACAATAAAGCATAAAACAATATGCAACTTTTCCACCTTTAAATATCCATTATTTATACAATCTTTGTCAAAAACTGACATATTAAGGGGTGCAGATGGCTTAGCGGTTGGGTCTTGCCACATGTACAGAGACTATAGTCCTCTAAATGGGTGGGCTCATATGTTTATAAATACCTCACCTGTCTTTGTCCACTTCTGTTCCATCGACCCACAGCCAAGTCCCCTCCTGCTCCCTGTCAGTCATCCCGACCCATGCTGCCTCTGTGAATCCAGTGAGGAAGGCCTGTCATAAAACAACACGCTCATAAACAACAGACTCTGACACACAGAAGTATCTCACAGTCCAGATGAATATCCTGCGTCCTTGTTTCTACATTCATGAATCTTAAACGGTTTTCTGTGTCCTATATTGGGCTTTCACACTTGCAGAAATCTCCTGAAAAGCTCAGGATATTTCCAGGAGGAGCTGCATGTGTGAACGCAAACAGCCACATTTTTCACTCAGACTTCATCCAGAGTTTCTCCTGCCACACCCTTAGTATTTTTTCTGCAGTAAGTCCCAGTGAGCTGATGTGAAAACGCTGCAGGATATTCCCCGGAGAATTCACCTTGAGCAAATGGGAGGGGGAGTTTCTATACTGTGACTGCTGCTCTGTGCATAGACTGTATACACATGACCACTATGCTCTCCATGCATGCTATTAAACGGCTGCATTGTGTTTTCTGTTTTCCAGTGTTTTTCTCTCTCTTTTTTTGATGTTTGATGCTATTTTTAGAACAATTAACCGATCAACCACTGAGTCTTTCAGTTCACATTTTCTACTAACCTACTGAAACCATCCCAAAAACAACTTGGCATGTTTCAAATGGAGCAATCATTAGTACAGGAATATTAAGTCACCTGTTCCTGTCTGCTGTTGATGACCACCAGGTCGGCGTTTCTCTGCAGGCAGTCCTCCCGGCTTTCGTCCCAGTTTTTCCGGCTTCGCTGAGAGGAGATGTAGTAACAGCTGGAGGCGAACATCAGCCAGCCCCGAGGACAGCTGCGTCCCTCTGTCTCAACTTAACAGGACATTACATGTCACAATACAGAGCGGTGTCATGATGCAACACACAGCAGGATGCTGCAAGTGAACATAACAAGGTGCAGGCTGATGAGACAGGTGAATCAAACCTCAAAGGGTATGCTGATATAAATTACAAATGCATATAGTTTAAATAATAAACATCTTGCATCTTTTGGTGTAAAGGCAAAAATAAAAAGCTTCTGCATGGCCGCATGCCACTCAAATTAGGAGGAAAATAGTGTAGGGGTGACCTGTTTGTTTATCTTTAAGAAATATCTCACTTCAGCATTTCCATTGACTGTTTATGAAGTGTTTTCAAAAGTAAAGCAAATGCAGCAGAACCCTGAACTTGCAGTCTTTGTGGCCAGCAGGGCGAGACAGTGGTTACACAAAGACGTCAGATTATTTAGAAGTGATGAGAAAATGTTCTCACTTCTAAGTTGATTCATTCCCTCCTTAAAAGCTTTCCCAATGAGTTCATGGTCTTAATCTCTATTTTTGATCCCCCCTCAGAACAGCATGATGTTCATTGTGTAAATGATGGTAACACGTTGATTACTGCACACAGAGCTACGTCATAAAGTGCAGCAATAAGTGCTACTGTGATTACAAAATGTCATGTGCCTAGTAGTATTAAATAGTGTAGTCTCCATATTAGGGATGTAATGAGTCACTCAACTCACGATACGACTCTCTCACAAATTATTTAAAAAAAAGAGACTAAGACAAATTACGAGATGCCTGAAAAAGATTCCTTTCATTTTTTGCATGCGAGAGAGAAAATGTTTCACTCCGACTCTACACAGATTTTCTTTCCTGCTACCCCACTACTAACATTTCAGGGCAATGTTGGAATGATGATGTAGGAAAATGCAGGAAATATTCAGGAAACTTCACAGTGAGCAGGCGAGAGGAGCTGATGATATTTATATCACGTGACTGGTGAGCCACCGCTGTAACCGTCTTGAAAGTAACAAAGCAGCTCAAACTATGTGCATGAAAGTGGCCTCTTCCTTTTTTTATTTCGTCATGTCTTGCCTCCTGAGACTCCGCCCTCACCTCCCTAGAGGGAGGGTTTCCCACTGTGAGGTGCGTGTGTGAACAGGCAACTCATGAAGATGTCAGGAGCAGACTGTCGGAGAACATGACATGATTTTTGTTTTGTTTTTTGGTCCTCTTAACTGAGAGATAACACTGAATCTTTAGCCAAATGCTCCACTCTGTTTTCCAGCTTGTTGCTAACTTTGTCTTTCTAACGTTCTATGCTGAGCCTGAGTGTTGCAGTGTCCCGTTGGATGATCTACCTTTAACAGAAGGCTTACTGAGAGCGAGTCTCAGAGCGATGTTGAGGCTTCCTTGAAGAATACACAGCAGGCCGACGCCCAGGAGAACCACACGAAAGTATCCGAATTCTATAACATACAATAAATCCCAATTTCTGATATTTATTAAAATGTTAAGTTTCTGTTTTCCATAAAAAATACCTTTAAAGTAAAACAATAATCATCCATCCATTCATTCATTATCCAGCCTGTCCTAGCTGTCAATGGGCGAGAGGCGGGGTACACCCTGGGGACATTTCCGGGGGACAGCCCAGAAATGTATTTTTTAAGTTTATCCAAATAAAATAAAAACTTTTAAGAACACAGACATTTTTTGAAAACATAATAAGTTAAAAGAGGAAGAAGGCAGGGTGCTAAATAGACTCACTGTAATTTCATATCCCCCATGTATGGAGGATATCATCCTTCATCCACCCAGGGGGTTTTTTCCCACATGTCATTGAAAAATCTCTTGTCCCTATTTCCAACTCTATCTACTGTCCTTCATCAAAAAGCCTGAAAACAAACTTAAACAAAGGAAGAATTAGAATAAAAAAATTATAAATAAAAAAATTAAGTAAAAAGAAAACAGTTTGCACAAAAGAGATCGGAAGTCTAAGACAAGAAGAAAAAAAAAAATATGACTACACCAACAAGTTGAATATTTCTTCTCCTGGCACCAGTTGTGTATTTAAATGAGAAGAGCTTGAATAATCACAAGGTCAGTACTCTTCTGTTGTCTTACTCAGAACACCACAGCACTTTCATGATCTCAGCTGTCTCTGATACTCACTGGGAGTGGTGGTCATCTCTGTCGCAGCCTCCTTGGGTTCGGGTATGGGTAACTCCTGATACTCGCCAACCTCAGCATTAACGTAAGACTCACTGGAGGTGAGGATGGTGGCCATTTTGAGCCGTAGCGGTGTGAAGTTCTGTCTTGTGTTGTTGGAGATGTTGTCAACACTGATGCTTTTTCCTATATGTCACTGCTCCTCATGTGAAGGGGAAGTATTGTGCCATCAAGCGTTTCATCCTCTGTTATCATATGTTCTTACTTAGATTTTTAAAACTGGTACTCATTTTGAATATTCTCACTTTTCAAAGCTTTAAATCATCTTAAATGTTTTCTGGTTCTATTACTGAAAAGGAAACAGAAAAGAAATACTAGACTGCTATCTGAGGGGAACATTACTAATGCAGACCTTTCTGGTAAATAAATTATGAACATAAAAGTAATATCACTCAAAAATGAATGTAAAGATCTGAAAAGAAAATTACAACCGAGTGTTTTTCCATCTGATGCCTTCATGAGCCAACAACCACACAGTAACTCTTGACATCCAGCATCCATCATTCATGTTTTTGCATTTCAATCAAAGCTGAAGACAGGAAGTTTGAAGTAATCTTCGATTCAATAAATCAAAATCCACTTTTCTCTCATGTATTGACTGTTTTAATTTGTGCGAGCTTCACTTTGTAGAAACGTCCTGTTGTGGAAGAGAGTGAGCACAGCTTTACACAACTGTGACAGAAGACGTTGCATAAGTCAAAAAAAGGCTCAAAGCACAGACAGACACATTAAGCAAAGAATATTTATTTACCATTGAAGCCTTCAAGCATCATATGGAGAGACTGTGGTTTATATATACACATTACAACTACATTATAAGAGGAGTGACAGCAGAGTCCGGGTGTCAGAGATTATATCCAGCCAGTAAAAAAAAGGTGAGCGAGTCTGTGTTTGTGTGGGAGCCATTTCCAACAGAACACTTTATAGTTTACATATTCCTACAAATCCCATCACACATGACGACCCTGAAGTTCTCCACAAATACAAAAAAGAAAAACATGTCGATCAGATGAAAGACAGAATCTCAAAGTACTGGGATACATTCAAAGAACTCAATCTGAGAGTGCAACCTGAAATACAACTTCACACAGATCAGCAGAACTGTTTTGCTTAAAATAAAATGAGCGATACGTAAAAATATCTACAGAATGAAATGATAAAATGACCTTACTATAGGATCAGACATTAAGGAAACATGCTATGTTAAAGTGCTGGCTTCTCTGACAACAATGCAGCAGCCAGTATGTCCTCCTTCTAACTTTAGATTCTGGTCCTGAAGAGGAAGTAGGCTGTTTTTTAAGGAAAATACCCACACGGCCGTTTTTGAAGTCCCTGGGTTTTCAGGCAAACGGCAAACCAGCAGGTGTTGCAGCGATGGAAGTCTAAGAGAACCAGTTCAGAGAGAACTGATTCTACCCGACCTAAAACACCTCTGCATGTTTCGTTTGAAATTCCATTATTTAGCTTTTATTTTTTAAATATTCTTTTGTGTGGTATTTTTATACTGTCTTAAGCTAAGGGTTCTTTAATTCCTGCCTTTATTTTGAAAGGAAATACGGAACTTGTGGTAAATTGATGGTTATAAAATTAACTTATAAAATGAACTAAATTAATGCATTGATATCGGGCCTTTATTACATCACGATTAACAGCCCTAGTCAAATGATTGTTTTTGTCAATAAAGTTTGGTGGATTTGGAGAGAGAAGAGATGCACCGCTCACGATTTCTTCCACCCGTTAACGATTGTTTTCCTGATCCAATCTGCTGATTCTGAGTTTGTCAAAATAATAAAAGATAAAAAAAACTTGGTAACTTTAAAATAAATATATTAAAGATTACATTTTCATAAGGGACTGCATCCTCATGTTGCCAGTTGTGTAAAAAAACAAAACAAAAAAAAACATTTATATTTCAAATCAAAACCAAAGCAGAAAATCAAGTTGGTCCCAATCTGGCCGTCAGCAAATATACGATTGTTATTTATTTTACTGTGTTAGCATGTACAGAGGGTGTGTTAGGTCTCACTGAGGAGGGGGAGGAGGAGGAGGGGGAGGGGGGAGGCTAGAGAAAGGGACGGAGTTTGGAGGCCACATAGGAGAGGAGAACGAGGGGTTGTAGAAAGAGGGAGGAGGAGGAGGGTAGAGAGGGAAGTTGGGTGGAGGGAAGTGGTGATGAGGGGGAGGGGGGTAAGGGCAGGGAGGGGGGGGTACATGGGAGGGGCATTTGTGTGTGTGAAATGTTGGTGTGTTTGTCTGGGTGGAGCGTGTGTGTTTTGGAAAGGTGGTTGTTTATGTCTCGGGTTCTGGTGCCTGAACGAAGCCCCTGCATGTCTCGGTAGGAAACCCCTGGCGTCACGCTGCTGTGGCAAGGTGTTCTGGGTAGTGTGGTCGGGATTATCTGAAAGGTGAAATCAGAGACAAGAAAGGGAGAAAAGTAGAAAACGTGTGTGTCAGATATTTTCTAATAAAAGCATAAATATTGTGTGTGTGTGTGTGTGTGTGTGTGTGTGTGTGTGTGTGTGTGTGTGTGTGTGTGTGTGTGTGTGTGTGTGTGTGTGTGTGTGTGTGTGTGTGTGTGTGTGTGGTTACCTGTACTGTTGTCCTTTTTCTTTCTGGAGTTTTTTGCCTTCCTTTTAGCTTCCTGCTCCTTCTCGTCGTCACTAAAATCTAAAGCCTGGACAGACATCAAAATATTACTCTCTAAATGAATTTAACAAAGTCATCTCTCTGAGCATAATGGAAACTTCATGATTAGTAAACAAATGAAATAAGTCCTAAGTAAAAACAACTTTATTTACATGTGTGGCATTATTGATAGCATTATTTGGCTTTAAAATAAAGTTCAAACATCTGTCGGCGTGCTTACCTCAGCAGGTGGCTCTTGGTCGTTCTTCCACGACGCATCCGATCCCTTTAAACTGAAAGTAAAATATTATTTTTTTACTACAAACTTAACAGTCTGTTTTTAAAGAACAAACTGTACATCAAAGCATCCCAATCAACCAAAACACCTACCAATAAAAATTGTGTAGCATACGCAGTGTGTTCAGAGGATCAAAACTGTTAACAGAAGTCTAAAACATGCAGCTTGTGATCAGTTTGTGTGCATGTCTTTCAGTACCTTCTGTTTTCACCATGTGGAGTTTGTAATCCTGCTAGCTCCCTGTACACTTGTTGAGCTCTCAGCCTACGGTTACTTTAATTGTGAAGTTTAGACCCACAGTATGCAAACATTTTGTCTTAGACTCAAATTGCGCAAAACCATCACCATGACAACCATATTTTACATAGGACTTTACAGCTATAGGAGCTAGGTGTAAGATTTAATGTGTAACTGCTGCCTACGCAGGAACTATCTCAGCTGGCGCAACACCGAGCTTAAAGGGGAAATATTATGAAAAATCCACTTAAACACTGTTTTTGAACATATATTTGGGTAACCTGTTTTTTGGGGTAAAGTGTCTAATGACCCACAGTCAGTAGACACTTTATTGTAAATAAATCCATCCAGTTCTTTGTTTGTGGTCTGCATAAGTCTTACAACACAGAGAAAAATGCTCCGTTTCAAATGTGCTCTCCTTGTGACATCAGTGTGATTCTGGTAAAAAAAAAAAAAATACCCTCCCCTCCCCTCCCCTGATATCTCCACCCCCAGCCTAAAACAAAACTTTTGCGCATGTCCGCCATTTTTATTCTCGCTAGCAAAGGAGTGATGTCTACTGGGAAAACTCCTTGCATTTAAAGAGACACACACACCAAAATGGAGCGTTCTGAGAGGTCACAAACCTCCTCTGGTGCTTGATTCATGTTATATTTTGACCAAAGCACAGCACAGATGTTTCATTTAGACCACAGGGGACTGTTTGAAAAGGTGGAGAAGGGGGATAATATGTCCTCTTTAAACTTTGTCTTAGGTAAAAGCTTACGCTCAAACTAGACTACGTTTACGCAAAGATGGTGCAATTCAGTATAGAGGACAATTAACTCTTTGTCAATACACTCAGTGAAAAGAGAAGACATGTGAAACATGAGTACTTACAGTTTGAGCTGCTGTGTGAGGATGTATGCGGTGTACTCTTTGTTGTGCGGTGTGTAGTAAAGAGTGAGTCCCTCCGTCAGCCCTTTCCTGCTGATCTGATCTGCAGAGTTAAAACGCAAAATGTAGAGCGGACTGGACACCGGACCGAACACCTCAAACACCTGAAACAACACACACAGAAACACACACGTCAGAGGGGATGGAGGCACAGCTCCTTATAGACTCAGCCTCTGCTGGTGTACTCACCTTTCCCACAGCCATCCTATCAGAAGTAAAGATGATGCTGTCATCATTCAGAGGGGGCGTGTCCTTCAGAGACTGGATGACGACTGCAGAAAGAGAGAGAGCACGTTCAAAACAAAGCTCACAAGTACCCATTAAAACACCATAATCTTAACCTTGATACATTCTGGTAAACACATTAAACAATATTAATACCTGTTTGGATACATCAGCAACTATAACTGAAGTCCTAGGCACCAAATATTTATTTATTTAATTTCACGTTAATCCCTGCAGAAGTATCCTGCATGGATTGATGGATTCATTCTTCTCCCATGCAGCTGTCTTATGAAGTCGATGTAGTTTTTATTAAGCTTCGGTACTTTTGGATAACATCAATCATTAAAACAGCAGATTTTATCGTTTTAAAACAGGTTGTATGGAAAGGTATCAAAGTATCGAACAAAACTCATTATAAATTGAGATTAACAAATATTAAAAAGCGCTAATTAGCAATAAGGGATGTCATTTGTGGTGTCATATCAAAGTTACATTTCTGGTATTGTGTAAACTTGGTGTGAATATTAACCGAGTTGCTGGAGAATACTGGAGATGGTTCCTACAGGCTGCAGTTCAGCATCTTCTGGTAACGATACAGAAACCTCCTCCACTGTGGGCAGCTCCTAAACATGAGGACAGAAAGTGTTTTTATCTGATGCAGTAAAGGATTATGGTGTTTGTACCGTTTAGAGCAGAAGGGAAAAAAGTGTGTGACACATTAGACTTAAAAAGCCCCACTTCACACAAAATGTTAATGGTTTATGTTAACATCTAAAGCTGGGAGCAATGGAGGCAAACAATCATTCAGCTCCATGTTCCCAAACATCTCCAATAGTTACAACAAGAAATGCACAGACGTCTTTATCGAGGAAACAGCAGGACATTATGTTTCCACCGTGTAATCAAACAACGAGCTAAGACTCATTTTGTCTTTCTGTCATCTCCAACGTGAAGGAATCTTCACACCATACAACCACAGACTGACCTCGAGCAGGACTTCATCTCTTGTCTTGATGGGCACTGGTTGGCTGAAACCCTCGTCATCGTCATCCTCCAACACGCGGGCAATAGCAGAGGAGGATGAGGAGGAAGAGGAGGATGAAGAAGAGGAGGAGGATGACGAGCTGTCGCTGAGGAGAGGAAGAGCACCAGAGTTTGATATTAGGCTGTTAAAATGTTCAATACTTTTTCGATATAACATGTTTTAAAGGAGGTGTTTGCACATCACACTATGTCAGGATGAAGGTGAGTAGGACATAAAACTATCACATTGAAAAGAAAAAAAAAGTACACTCTTCTTGCTGGGCATCACCAATTAGATACAATCTGTTCTTTAAAAGGTCACATATTCTCCTCCTCTTCTAGCAGTTTAAATAAGTCTCAGAGCTCCCCAAAACATGTCTGTGAAGTTTCTTGTTCTAAATCCACTCTGATCCTGTATTTGATCATGAACTATAAACCCCTCCATTTCAGCCTTGCTCAGAACAGGCTGTTTCTGTGTCTGTAGCTTTAAATATGTAAATGAGCTGTGTCTGACCACGCCCCCTCTCCGGAAGGGCTTTGAGTTTTCTCGCTCCATGTCCTATTGTTTACGGTGAGAAGGCAGACTCAGAGGGCAGAACAAACACCTAGCTGTGGGAGTGTCACCCACCTGGGGGAGGGGTTACTGCCCTTTGTGATGTCATAAAGGGAAAATCTCCACACAGGGGGTTTGTAGACAGACTAGGGACACATAAGTGTTAGAGAAACATGGTAGGTGTATTGTGCATACGTGACCTTTAAAATGATCAATAGTGCAGAAGCTTAATAAACAAACATACACGTTTTAAGGAATATTGTAACCTGCAGTCCGTTCAAATTCACAAGTTTGAAGACACCAAATTGTGGAGTTTCATAGACCCAAAAGTTACATTTATGTCTCTAATGAAAAGACAGAGAGCCAAGGAGACGACACTGTCGAAAATGCTGGAACACATTGGTAATGTTTCAGCCTACATATTTGTGCATTGAATCCAGTGTGCAGGAGTTTGCCTGACCTTACCACATATTCGGTGCCTAGTACATACGCATTTAGTTGTATCGAAGCAGTTATCCATATATCATTCGTCTTTTAATAGAATTATATCAAAGTTTAAAATTCTGGTTTTGTGACAACCCTAGTAAGTTATCTGTGTACATTCTTGTACGGCTATTAAAGCTAAATGTTTGTCTTTTGTGTATGTGCAAAGATACCTGTCTGAATCATCTGAATCTTCATCATCACAGTCCTCTGTCTTTAACTCAATGTTTAAAGAAAGTGCTGCTGCTGCTGTTGAGTCACTCTGTACATCTTCTGTTTTCTCTGTTTGTGTCTGTGTATTTGAGAACGCAGAAACATCTTCAGGGGTCGCATCGACGCTGAGATTTTCCAGAGGTGTTGTAACGGTGACGTCCATCTCCTCTTCATCCTCCTTTTTCACCTCCAGTAACGTCTCTGCGTTCTCCGCTGATATTTTTTCATCCATCTGAAAGGCACACACACTTAATCAAATTACAGGGTCCAAAAAAAGTCTTAGATTTTACATTTTGTCCAAATGACTACATTCAATAGGCCCTGATCACAGACACTACTGAAAAAAATGTAGGAATAATAGTATAAAAACAGATTTATCACTTCTATGGCAGTGCAATAGTGTAATCGATTGATTGCAAACTTGTATATTTTAGCGTAAATGCAACAAAGTGACTGTTTGATGTAAACATTTAAAGCTTTAATGTTAGTTTTTACAATCAATCAGACTGTAAAAATGTGCAAATACTTGGGGGTACTTTATGACAAGGGTTACCTAACTTTACAGCTCAGGACCCCCAAAATAAGGGTGCCAGAGCCCAGGGACCCTCACTGTCGCTGTAGGTGGTTAAGGCATATAACGTAGCAAGAATCTATTGGCCAATAAAAAACACTGGTTACACAAAAGAACACAAAAGTCTTTTAGTGTGTTTTTATCTGTAACATATGCACTGCAAATTATTTGACATTTTTCTCCCAAGTTATTTTTGGAAGGCATGTCACAACCTGCAGCTTACTTTAAACCAGCACAGCTTTACGACACCACGTGTTTTAAAAAGTAAACATTTCCAATATTTAAATGATCTGCTGTATCAAAAAGTACAGAAGCCTTAAAAAAAGGTAAAGATCTCGAGAAACAAATTCAAGACAAAAGCTGGCGCTAACAAAATAAATAATATCACACAAACACATTAAGAATGTTTTTTTTTTTTTTTGCAATTTAGACAATAATTAGATCACAACTATCACAAGGATGAATAGTACAATTAAAATACAAATCTATACAGATAAAGTACTTTGAAACAGTGTCTTATATTGCTCGACCATTATCTAAATGCATCATTGTTCTTAACTTCTGTTCAAAATCAGCCTCGTTAAGAAAATAAAGAAAATGTTTAGTTTCACCCCCGTTAGCATCAGTCGGCTAGCTAAGCAAGCTAACACGCGTTACAGATGTTTAGTTTTAAGTTACGTAACAAGGCTCAAAAGCTACGATCCAGGGTGACCACTGAGACTCCAACCAGAGACGTAACACTAGTAGACACGTTGTGGACATACATACAGTTTAATAAGTATTACCTGTGTGTCTGTTCAGCTAAAGTGTCCGCGCTGCGAAGAAGCTTCAAGAAAGTCCGGAGTGCTGTGAGCATCCGTTATGACCCTCCAAAATAAAAGCACATTTCACAATAATGTTTTAGAAATCACTGGGCATGATGTTACGACAAAGATCGTACCTGAAGCAAAACGAAAGAAATACTTTTTTAAAATAGGCTAAACTTTATGATGTTTGTGTCCCCTTGACAGCATCTTGGGAGACACATTCTGTGCGGGACTTAGAATATTCTTGTGATATCAGAATTAGAAATAGCCTACTTTATTAAACCCGGGGGGAAATTTGGTCATTACATTTGCTCTTATTAGAAAATATAGTATAAAATATAGAAGTACATATATTGTGTGGAATAAAATAGAAATAGAAATAAGCAATATGTACCAAAGAGTGTCTGATGTTATGGGGGTTAAATGGTTAATGGACTTGAGCTTATATAGCTTTCTTCTAGTCTCCTGACCACTCAAAGCGCTTTTACACAGCATGTACTACCCATGCACACATGGTGATGGTAGAGGATGCTATGTAGTGAGACCATCAGAAGCAACTAATCCCATTTATTCGCATTCATACGCTGCAGACCAAGCAGTGGGATTAATAGCCTTGCCCAAGGACACATCCTACATGTTACTGCAGGAGCTGGGGATTGAACCCTCGACCATACGGTTGAGAGACGACAACTCTAGCCACAGCCTAGAGGGAACTTAGGGAACACCTTCCAATGTAATGCACTATAGTTCACCACGACCAACTACTGCGTCTTCACTAACACAAATAAAGCAAAATGATCTTCACGTCAATAAACACTGAAAATGTAGAAACTTCATAAAATTAGAATTTGTGCTAGAATTGGATTGCAAAGGTTGTCATAATTTTATGGCTGATTGACTGTGTATTCTGTGCTAAACCATCATTACATTTTATTTTGAAAGCCGATCTTGTTCAATTCCGGTTGTATTCAGTGCTTGACGTAATGAGGGCCACACGCACACAACACGTGGGGTTGTTTTTCCGGGCGTGCGCATGGCTGATGCGCATTGCAACTCAATGAACGGGATCAAGTTTTACTTCCAGACGACATGTAGAGTACATTCAGTAGCGAAGGAAGTGTTAAAGTACTCGGAGCTGTTTCATTGAGTGTCAGAAGATGATGTGGCTAGAATCAGATTCAAATCTGTCCTTTAGGCCTATGCGTAACGGAAGCATATTTTAGGCCTACTATATATTTTTCCTATTTGATAATTTTTACTTTCCCTTAAAGATTCTCAAAAGTCACTCAATGTTTGGTAGGAATTTCCTTTTTTTTTTGCCATAAAGTTGAAAAATATGTAATCAAAACAAATAAATATGTATAGCCTATATATGCAACAGCCTTTCTTGACCAACCAGGAGGGCGGTTCCATAAGTGTGTGGCGTCACGTGAAAGCTATGAACACTGTGGCAATTTTGCACATGGATTAGACTTTTATTTTTAGAAATGCATAGGCAAAGAAGGTACACTGAGTCTGTCTGCACACTATAATTTGAATGAAGACATACATGACACTGTATCGAATATGGCCAGTAGGTGGCGGCAAAGTCCACTTTAATAAACCCATGTCTGCGATAACAAGGAGGTCAATGAGGAGTGAAAATGGTTTTAAATGTCATTATATTCAACCACACTAAAAGGTACTGGGTTATTTCTGTAAACACAGTGCTGGGTCAAAGTGTTTAATTAGACCCAGTCGGTGGGTCTAATTAATTAATTAATTTTCCTGCTTCATTGTTGTACTGGATCTAACGTCTAAGAAGGGGTTAAAGTTGGCTATTGTTGGCCAATAATATGCAATATATGAAATCAGAGAGTTTACATCTGCTTTGGTCGGACTCTTCAAAGCCTGAAAAGCCCAGATTGGGTGTACATTTAATTCAGTTAAGATAAGATGTGAATAAATGTATACACTATTTATTTTCTTTTTGAATATTTAGTGGAAATTGTGTTCAGTACAGATTGTATAAAGCATTAATCATTCCTCAAGTCAAAAGTGTATTTGTGGAAATCCACCCGGCAATCTGATAGATTTCAGGATATCGATGTTTAGTCTTCTATACTTGTGCCAAATCCAGGATCCAAAAATGTGTTACAACCTCCAGCACTGTATGTTCTTAACTTTAAAGAGGCCGAACTCTGACTGACTGCTGTTGAATGTCTCAGTTTTCATAATGTCCTATATGACCTTAGGTCTGCTCAAGCTTCTGTTGTAACACATTCAAAATCCACAAAGATGTGACATTTATAATCATACTCACTTCTGTTGCTTAAAGGGTAACTCTGTTTTTTTTTTTTTTTACATGGGCCTCATTCATTCATATTCTTTACTTTTTGTTTGTGATCAAACATTTATTTCAACATTTGCTTCCAACGACAAACAACCATTTTTTTAGCAGCTGTTAGACCTGCTAACAAAAGGCGTAAAGGTATAATAATTTATGTAGAATTTGGTTTCTAATGTTAACATTAAAATATGTAGATTAATAATAATATATTTTATTGTTGAATACTTGCATTATGTCAAATATTTCCAACAGTTATCAAAACAAGAGAAATCTGTCATTTTATAGTTGTAACAGTCCGCGTCTTGTTGGCAGCCGCCATGATGAGCCGCCATGACAGACACGAAATGTTGATCGTTGCCAAGGAAACACCAGATGTTACGTCAGAGTAGCAGAGAACTCCCATGATACCCCGCAAGCCTCAACGTCATCTTATCTTATTGTTTTGATTGAGAGCCCCCTGGCGACGGATTTTACATACTGTGCGTTTAAAGGAGCAGTATGTAACTCTGACACCTAGCATTTAAAATGGGTACTGCAGGCACAATTCAGAACAATGGAGGGAGCTGTCTCCCCCCCTCCACCCTACAGTTTACGTGCACATAGGTTGCCATGTTGCGGACACTGAAGCTTCAGTGTTTGGCCTGCTCTACATCGGTCTTGAAACCTTTCCTTTAACCTCTCTTCATCTTATTAGAAACATGCAGAGGCTTTGAAGATCGAGTAGAATCAATTTTATCAATCAGGCCCGCTGCTCGCTTCCATCGCTGCAACACCTTTTAGAAACTGAACAAAAATGTGAGAAATGCTCTATTGTTGTTGATTTGTGTGACTCGCCTTTGCAGAAACACTTCATTTTTTGTTGAGGTGGAGGGGAAGTGGAACACCAGAATGTCTCAGACTGAGGACCTGCCTCTGTATGATATTTCCTTTGATAACATTGTGTGAGCCCAGCGTCTAACACTGATTCCCATTGTTCCAGGAGACCAAATGGAAAACAGACATCATAGCTGAGAATGTGCACACTCGTAGAAAACCTTGAAAACCTTTGTTTTGTGTCAAAGAAAACAATTCGCCTCATTTATCCTGGTGAGTCAGAGGAATATTTTTCACATTTTAGCTCTGTTGAGTCACTGATGGTGCAGCGTATCACAGCTGTTCAGTTTATCCCACCTGTTTTCCTCTGGGTTTACAGGCTTCACGTCAAGGCAAAAAAAAAACATACAAAAATAAAGTGAATGAATGTCGCTCATCAAGGTCAGAGTGATATTGTGTTACAGAAGTGGGAATGTAAAGGTCAACATTTATAATAATAACTCTTTTCCAAGGAAAAACTTTTAACAGAGGAGACATTATAAATAAAAAACTGAATTACTGTTCCTAAGAATCATTTTTCAATTCTATATTTTTCTTTTGACTTTATTTTACATAATTTCAAATCTACATTTTAACAAAATTATCTGTATTTTTTTACATTTTTGAAACAAGCTTATTTCTTTTTTCATTTAATTTCTTCTTTAGATTTGTTGCATCAGAGAGAAATATCCATCCATCCATTATCAATACCACTTTTTCCTGTTTTCAGTCACCACGGGCTGGAGCAGATCCCAGCTGTCATTGAGTGAGAGGCGGGGTTACAACCTGGACTGTTCGCCAATCAATCACATTGCTGCACATCTAGAGACAGACAACCAGCCACTCTCACATTCACACCTACGGGGAAATTTACAGTCACCAATTAACCAAACGAGCATGTCTTTGGACTGTGGGAGGAAGCAGGAGTACCTGGAGAGAACCCACGCATGCACGGGGAGAACATGCAAACTCCCCACAGAGAGACTCCTGTCCCGACGGGGATTCGAACCGTGAAACTCCTCGCTGTGAGGCATCAGTTCTAACCAATGCACATCAGTAACAGTAGAAGAAAAAAACAATTGATTTAAAAACACAGCAATTCTAACAAGTGATCGGAGGTTTCCAGGTAATACTTATCGAGCAATAAAAGTCCATTAACAAGTGCTTTACAAACTCCTTTGAGACTGACTTGTTGAGGTTAAGAAGTATTGTTCCTTTATTTGTGTAAATGTGCCTTCATCCTGAGAATCTCTGCTGTGACAGTAAACAGGGGACTGAACTTGCGTCTCTGAGGGGCCACAGGATGCTGTTTATAAAAGCAGCAGGTGTTTTTCTGGCATTGTCCCTCTCACACACACACACACACACACACACACACACACACACACACACACACACACTGACACACACACACACACACACAGACTCACACAGAGCAGGTGTTGTTTGTCAGAGTAATTTTGTTTTTACGATTTCAATGTCGCTCATTGTGTCGCATTTGACAAAACACTGTCAACAGTGTCCCATACATGTACAAACACACACTCACACAAACAGATTCAAATTACTCCACTGTGACTCCTCCACATGTCAGAGAAAATTCCTCAAATTCTTGGACATTGTTTTCCTGTTGTCGGTTTGTGTCACTTCCACATTTCTTCACCCGGGTTTGACCACCGTTTTAGCTGTTTTTGAAAGAGACTGAAGTTAATACTGATGCTTCTTTATGACCTACAAATACATTCAAGACCATCAGCAACAAGAACTATAATTCTTTAAAGGCGTTTTTAATGCCAGAAATCGCTGCTTTGGGCGAGGTGTCAGACGAGGCGATAAACACCACGCTGCTTACACGGCCCTGTTTGAAAAATGTTCACAC